AATCCACTCCCTCGGGAGCCTCTACCTCCTTAAAATGCAGGGCACTGCGGTGCTCTACCCAGGCTTCAGCTTCTAAACCTAAGTTTAACCCTTTCTTGCAGCATAGGATTTGGCCCAAGTTTTCCCCAAAGCCTTCTTCTCAATGAAAGGATGTCCTCATTCCTAAGAGTGACTTACGGGTTCAATCAGTGGTTTCAAAGGGCTACAAAATACAATTCAAAAGTCTACCCCCTTAATGCTTTCTTCTCTCCAATCAGCCAAAATCTGCCCAAGGACAGTCAGAATGCCCTAAACCATCTCTTGTTCCAGTGTTCCAGTAGCCCTACAGGTCAGGTTCAAAGGATTCTATTTAAACCTGCTCATGGTTCCAAAAAAACCTTTAAATTCCAGAACTTCACATGAAATCCACAAGGTTAGTTATTGCCTCATTGAGGCAATGGAAATACTTGGTATCCATACACATCCAAGATACCTATCTGCATATTCCCATTTGTCCACCTCATGGACGCTTCCTACACCTTACAGTAGGAGACAATCACTCCCTGTTTTTCACACTTGGTCATTTGGACTATTCTCTGTCCCAAGAGTATTCACAAAAGTTCCTCACACCTCTTCTTGCTTTTCTAATAAATCAGACCATCCAGGTCATATGTTATCTATACAATCTTCTGCTAAAGGACTTGTCCCCTTTCATTTATATGTAGACATCCACAGAAAAATTCAGATGCTTCAAACATTCAGTTGGGTGATCAATTTTCAAAACTCCACTCTCCAACCTTCTCTTCACCTAGAATACTTGGGCCTGATTCTAGACACATCCCAAGAAAAGGTTTTCCATATAGAAATAGACAAAACTGCTTTATCTCTCTCAGACCTCACTCTTTGGACATGAGATCAAAGAGACATCCCTCTGTAAGATTCTCCATGGGAGATCTGAGTTTCATGGTAGCCTCATTTGAGGCTATTCCATACACCCAATTTCATTGGGAGAGCTCTCCAACAACATTTTGTTGGCATGGAATAAGCAGGTTTATTCCACTGACCTAGCCATGTTCCTGTCCAGCACCTAGTGTGCTGGATCTCCAGCCCAGCCCTAACAGACAACATCAGATTTGTTTTAGTCCCTCACAGTTTATGGAACATAGCCATTGGTGGAAGCCAAGCTCCCCATCAACATCCTAGAGCTCAGAGCAATAATGATGGCACTGGACCTCCCTACTGCCAACCAGAATTAAATCATACAATGCCATGGCTGTGACCTACAGCAATCGCTATGGGATACAAGAGTCATACAGCCTTAAATGAAGCAAGCCAGATCATCTCATGGTTGGAGAAACACTGTACATCGATCTCTACTATCCACATCCTAGGAGTGTACAACTGGAAGGTGGATTACCTCAGCCATCACCACCTGGACCAAGGGGAATGATCCCTTCACCCCAACATCTTCAACCTCATATGTCAGAGATGGGAGACTCTGGATGTGGATATCTTGGCCTCCAGATTGAACAATAAGTTACCTCTATTTATGGCCAGGACCAAAAATCCTTCAGCATTGGCATTGGATGCTTTTAAAATCCCTTGGTCTCAGTTCGGCGCTAATCTGTGCCTTGCTTCTAGTGTAAACTCTACCTTGCCTACAACTCAAAATAAAGCAAGAGAAGAAACTGGTCATTCTCATTGAAACTGGCCCAGAAGAACCCAGTATACAGACATAATCAGACTGCTAAGAGATTACCTCTAGCCACTTCCCAACAGGCCAAACTTGTTATCTGAGGGCCCTCTATTCCATTCTGATTGTCAGTCACTGGCTATAACAGCATAGCTATTGAAGCCCAGGCCTTAAGTCATAGGGATCTCTGAGACTGTTGTTACTACTTTTTTTTTAAAGCAACAAAAGCAACTTCTAGAAAGATTTACTATTGTACCTGGAAATCCTTCTTTCCCTGTTGTGAATACAGTTAATTCATATTTTGGCCTTCATACAAACAGGACTGGACCAGAATTTGGCCTTAAAGTGGTAGTAAAGTTGTTTTTTTTTTCACATGTAAGCCTATAATAAGGCTTACCTGTAGGCACTGTAAATATCTCCTAAATGTGCACCGTTTAGGAGATATTACTTGTTAAAGACACCAGCGCATGCGCTCTAAAGGAACGGAATTCTCGTGCCGTTCCTTCAGAGCTGTGTGCCATAAAAAGTGACATGCGTGGGAGTGAGATTATTGTGGCTTGGCCATTCAAGATGCCCGCAAACCCAGAAGAAGGACCTGGTGAAGATGGAAGCCCTGTCAGTGGTGACAGAGCCCCCCATTTTAACCACTTGTTCTCCTGAGGATTTACCCCCCTTCCTGACCAGGCCATTTTGTTCATTGCGGCACTGCGTTACTTAACCAGACAATTGCGTGGTCATGCAATGCTGCACCCAGATGAAATTTATGTCCTTTTTTTAACATGAATTGAGCTTTCTTTCTTTGGTAATTGATCGCCTGTGCGTTTTTTATTTTTTGCGCTATAAAAAAAAAAGTCTGACAATTTTGATAAAAAAACAATATTTTTGTCTTTTTGCTATTAAACATGTCCAATAAAAAAAGTAAAAAAAAATTATGTCAAAATGTATTCTGCGACATGTCTTCGCTAAAAAAAATCCCAATACGTGTAAATTAATTGATTTACGTTAAAGTTATAGCGTTTACAAATGGCGGTATATATACTGGGATTTTATTTTTTTTTTTTTCATTTTTACTAGTGATGGCTGCAATCAGCGACTTATAGCAGGACTATGGGACTGCAGCAGACATTCTGGCACTTGGTGTCACTGACTTTCCCAGTGACACAAATACAGTGATCAGTGCTAAAAAAAAAAGCACTGACACTGTACTAATGAAACTGGACAGGAAGGGGTTAACATGAGGGGCAATCAAAGGGTTAATTATGTGCAGGGAGTGTTATACTAGGGGTCGGTGTGTGTGTTTCACTGTAAGCACACTGCTCTGGATAGCTGTGTTGTGCACTTTTATATGCCAAGAGCGTGTGCCTAGCAGAGTTACTGGTGAGGACAGGAAAGCTCCCAAAGCATACTTGCAATCAGGGACTTTCCGATCATATGACTTCCAACCACAGCGGTCACATGGTCAGAATGCCTGCCTCCCAGCAAAACCTCTTAGAAGACCAGGAGGCATCGATGGGAAGGGGCTAAGGAGTCATTTGTCATTCTTTACAAAGACAAGACCATTTTTTCTTCCTAAAGTGTTATCAGTGGTATCAGTCTTCCACTTCAGTGGAGACATAGTCCTGCCATCTTTGTGCCCTGCTCCAAAGCACCCAAAGAAAATTGCTCTCCATTTATTAGATGTAGCCAGAGCCATCAGAATCTACATAAAGGCAACAGCTTCTATCAGGAAGGACTTACTATTATTCCCACCATCAGGACCTTACAAGGGACATCCTGCTTCTAAGTCCACCATTGATAGATGGATAAGACAACTCACCTCCAGAACTTATTCTCTAAAGGAAAAAACTCCCCCTGTACTGTTACATGGTAATAATTCCTCCAGGTCAATAGGTGTTTCTTGGGCATGCTGACATCATGTCCTTGTGGCCAAGCTTTGTAAAGGCCACCATCTTGTCCTCTGTTTATACCTTTTCAAAGTTCTACCAGGTGGAAGTCCAACCATCTATGGATACAGCTACATTGTTCTTGCAACAGCACTCTGAAGTTGGGTCTGTTGACCCTTGTTGTTGAACCTGTTTAAGATTAAAGGAATTTTGATTGATCTGTAAATGGAGTACAGTACAGAACACAGGACACCCTTCCTTCTACTTCTGGGTTACTCTGCATCACTTGCTACAAAATTGAGAAGTCACAGAGTGGGATAGGCTTGTAGGAGGGATGGCCAAGGGGTGTATCCTCAAAACCTTTCAAGTGCCCTCTTACCTAAGGTAACAGGCTATAACACAGGATCTATGAATATTCAGCCTGTTTTCTATACTGTGCACCAAGATATGGAATATAAAGGTAAGTCAAAATGTTTTTCACTTGAATCTAATTTATGCAAATATTTTATTTGGCATACAAAGAAAAATATTGTAGGATTACAAAATACTGTGATGGAAAGTTATCAAAACTGTAGCAGCTGTGCTTGACAACCAGTCAGCTTCTAGCTTTCATTTTCAAAGCCTAACTGAACAAGCTGAAGCTACTATGCACAGCTGCTCCACATTCCATATTCAGTTTTGGAAAATTCCCCCTTGTTTTGTTTTCTTTGTCTTTTGGGGGGCTGGTATTTCAAACAAGGTATACTAAGAAGGTTATTGCAGTTATGGTCAATGAGCTGAGGTTTTTTTCTTTTTGCTACAGCCCAAAGCCAGGATTTTAGCAACCCCTCCTGTCACACCTCCCTTCCACCCTTCTCTAACTAATTGCTAGTATGAATTAAAAAAAAATATCCAAATGCCCATTTTACTTACATGTAGTCATGCACATGATGACCCTTATTTTTTATTCTGTTTATATCCTGCGGTCCTTCTTTGGGTATTCCACATCTCTGCCTGCCTGATGTGAACACCTATTGGTGGAGGCAAAGCTTTTAGCAGCCTGGTCTTCTCTCATAGCCTCTAGAGGCAGAAGAACTCCTGAGGGTGGTGAGGGGAAAAATATCTGTCCCCCAGAGCAGGACATTACCTTTGTTCAGAAACTGTGACTTTGATCCATTAGTCTGCAGTATAGCTTAGAGAGAGGTGTTTGGAATCAACACTGAAGAGTAAGCTAAGTGGTGCACAATGCACTACTTAAATTTAATTTTTTGCAGAAATTGGGCTTTAACTAAGGGAGATTTTCATAAAGGATAATTTCACCTTTTAAATAAAAATAATAAATGCACATCTTTTTGCAGGTAAAAAAATGTGCATTTATTATGTTTTTTACTTGGAGCCTAGAAACCATTGCATCGTAATCATCAGATCAAGGGTGCCATGCAGGACTCCTGCATACTTGTTAGTATAGTTCTCAATGAACCAGGGGCGGACTGACCATTTGGAAATTCGGGCACCACCCGAGGGCCCGGGGTCAGTAGGGGGCCCCATGGGATGCCCCTGGTACCTTTTTCATAGGCTTTTTTGAGTTTGGGCAAGGACACAGGGGCCCCATGATCCCCTATTGCCCTGGGGCCCCATGAGTTGTCAGTCCGCCCCTGCAATGAACTACCACAGGGCTGTTGAGCCTTGTGGTAGTTCATTGTCTCTTCCTGTCAGTGTGTATCTACCTGTTCATACAAGGTATGAGCAGGCAGATACACACTGACAGGAAGAGACAATGAACTACCACAGCACTGTTGAGAGCTGTGGTAGTTAATTGAGAGCTACAAGCCAGCTTGTACCAGGAAATCCTTCTTTGCCTGGTACAAGTCAGGACTTTTGGTTTTCCATTCACAGAATTTTGTGAATGAATGATGCAGCCAGGCAGATGGAGCGCCCGCTAGCTGTCACTGGATGCAGAGGCTCCAGGAGTAGGAGCATGTTACATGTTCGGCCCTAAAAACAGAGGGAACATGTAACAAGTTCCCAAAGGTGAACTTATAATTTTAAGATATAGTATAGCCCATCTACCCCAGGCTAGTAGGAGGCAATAGTATTCCCTATCCTTGTCTGAAAGCTATTATCCAAGCTCCAAGACTTTACAACATCTGTGCCAGTTTAAAAATGCAGAACAGAACCGTGTGTGTACTGACATCAAATAGTTTCCATTATGTGATAATGTAGAAAGTGTGTTTAACAAAATTGTAAGGTATCAATCCATTTAAGAAAAGTCATATGGAGTCATCTGACATGTTTCCTATTTACTTGCATCTGACCTCAACTGAATGCAGACTTTTGTCAATTTCAAATTTAGCCAGCAAGAACATATATTTCACCTACTTTTTTAATCATTTATATTTAGAAAGCAGTGGCTAAATGGTTAGCACTTACCAGCTGGAAATAGTAAGGTCGTTGGGTTGAATCCCAACCATGGCACCACCTGCCTGGAGTTTGCATGTTCTCCCTGTGCCTGCATTCGTTTTCTTCAGGTACTCCAGTTTCCTCCCACACTCCACAGACTTGCTGGTAGGGTAATTGGTTCCTGTCTAAATTGGCCCTAGTATGTATATGTATGAATGTAAGTTAGGGACTTTAGATTGTACACCCCTTGAGGGTTAGGGACTGATGTGAATGTACAATATATATGTAAGCGCTGTGTAAATTGATGGCGCTGTATAAGTACCTGTAATAATAAATAATAATAGTACGACTGAACATATCCCCTGTCCAATGAAAGTGCTGCAGTGGCTCTAGTAATACTGGGCAGGGGGCTTAAAGGATGGAGCATAGTTCTGCAGTCCTGAAAGTAAAGGGTATTGAAGGAAATTGTGTTAACTGCTCTTAGACAGGACTAGCTCATTTTAGCTTGCAACTGATGCTGACAGCCTCGGAATTGTGATCTGAATTGCTTCAATAATGCCTGTCCCTCCACAGTGTACTAAACAAAAGGATTTATATACTGCATTTCTTATTTATAAAAGGATTCCTTGTGCATAGGCTTACATGATCATCTGAGCTCTTCATATAAATGTCACGTTGTTTTGAATGCCCTGCAGCCCTGGGCTGGCAATATAAACTGGTTCTGTCGTGTAAAGTAAACTGAGCACATATCATCAATGATCAGCCCTGTCAGCCTGGAACTTTCTCTGGAGACAGAATAGAAATGTTACTTGCAAACTTTCAGGTTTAAACCCCACCAACACAGAATTTTGGCCATTCTGATGCTCTAAAACCATGAAAGATCACAGGGATACAGTTTATGTTACACTGACTCTTTTTTAGACAGCATTGACATTTAACTACTATATATGAGCGCCAAGTTTCAGACAATTTGCTGTGTTTTGAAGAAACAGCCTACCAGTGTTTTGGCACTAGTTTTCTTAGTTTGTTTTATGATTGTTTCAGACAGTGGCTTTTTCACATTTGGAAATGGTTTCTATCAACAGACTAGCAGGACTGCAATGGGCAGTTTGTCCATACCATTCTTCACAAACGTATTTGTAGGTTATCTTGCAGAGATGTACAGTCACACATCTGATCAGTTTTCTTCCCATGTGCACACCTGGAGGCACTTTATACATGATGTATTTATTATTTGGAGTGGCAATGTGAAGGACTTTGAAGCATTTATTGATTTTCTCAAGCAGACTGTGCAAAGACTGTTTTCTGTCCAATTTTGTCTAATAAGATGATTTCTTGTTTTGATGTTTGCATCTCTGGAATATACTGATATATTGTCTGCTTGTCACACATCCCAGGCATGTTATATGTCTGCCTATTTCTCAGTTTTTAAGGCCTAGTTCACACAGACTTCAGCTTGGTAATGTCAATCTGAAGAGCACTATGTAAAGTAATCATTTACAAAGCATATACAAAGCATTCAATAAGATTCAAACATTTTTTTCTACAGCCATTAAAACACCCTGCAGCTACAGGCCATGGATATTTGTCAGTGTATCTAAATCTCCTAGTCAATCTACTCCCCCCCCCCTCTACTGACAATGCTGCTTTCCAAGGGTGTCTCTGTTGCTCCTTCATTCAGAGTGTAGGCACTCTAATACAGGAGGTGTGTTATGGCCAGATCACCAGGTGAAAGCAAACGGAAAAAAAAAAAAACTAAAAATAGAAAACCAATGCAGCCAACACATATAATGATTGGTAAGCTGCAATATATATCATGTTTGTTTTTGGGTTTAATATGGATTTAAAGCTGATTTCCACCTCAATGTCCCTTTGTTTGGGACAAGCTGGCCCAAGCAAACCATTTTTCGGCACTAACAGGTTCACTTATTGGGCGCGCTGCATGAATTGTCTGAAGCCTCAGCTGCATACAGTATACAGTGCTGTGTTCCAACAGCAGGGCAAGAACTTCCAAAAAACAAAATAGAGTGGGGCTGAGTGCTGCTAAGCCTTTCTTTGGTAGCTTTGTATTCTATGAATGATTACAAAGCTTCCTCTGATTGGCATAGTTGAAGATTGTGAAGTCACCCGCCCCCTTCTCTGCCTCAGCCAATCAGAAAAAACTTTGTATTCATTCATATTCCACTGATTCTGTTTTGTGAGTGGGAAGGGAAGTTCTTGTTCCACTGCTGTAACACAATTCTATATACTATACTTAGCTGAGGCTATGTATGGTTCATACAGCGATCGCAACCACAAACCGTACAACAGATTTTAAGACCTAAATGATTTTCATGAAATTTATGGACCTAAAACTCTTTTATTTTAAAACACTATTTACCAAAAAACCTTGTTTTACTTTATTATACGTTGACAAATGTGTAAAAATATTAAAGTGATTCTAAAGGCTTATTTTCTTTTAAGAAAAAATAACAAATATGTCTATACTTACCTGCTGTGTGCAGTGGTTTTACAGAGAGCTGCCCGGGTCCTCCTCTGCACAGGACCCTCTCCGGTGCTCCTGGCCCCTCCCTCCTATCAGCTGCCCCCCTCAACAAGCAGCTTTCTATGGGGGCACCCCTTACTCCGTGTGTCCTTTTACACACGGAGCCACGGCTTGACCCTGCCCCCTCTTTCTTCTCATTGGCTCATTTGCTGTGATTGACAGAAGCGGGAGCTCCCACTTCGGTCTCAGCCAATAAGGAGAGCAAGTCCTGGGATAGCCAAGACTCCAGTGCACATTGCTGGATCAAGAGGGAGATTGGGTGAATATTAGAGGGTGCTGGGAGGGATGCTGCACACAGAAGTTTTTTTGCCTTCATGCATAGAGTGCATGAAGGTAAAAACATTTGAGCTTTTAGAATCACTTTAAGGTGTTTGCTTTTTTTTATTATTATTTATTCTTGTTTTATGATGCTGGCAATCACAGTATATACCTGAAGGAACTGTAGATGTCACTGCAATCTGAAGGTGGCAATGTTCATCTGCAGGCTAAAAGGGTTTTTCTTTTCTCCTTTTATTTTGTTTTTTAGTGAAGCCTCCAGTCTGCATTTGGTGTCTGTTATAACTGACAAAGTGATTAAATGATTGAGATAAATTCTAAATTGGTTCCCAGTTGTTGTGGACTCAAGTTGACAGCTGGGAGTGAGAGTAAGCAACTGCTCAAAATATTGGCTGCTGGCTCTTGAAGGTGGTACATTTATATTAAATTGTAATATAATAACATCCTCTTTATATTTAATTTATTTATTTTTGTGTAGCACACCCTTGGGTGGAACTTGGCTAAATATATAGGTTCAGCTCCCACCTGAATCTGGTGACAACTCTGATTATACCCAGAACACTTTGACACTCTGAGAATATTTTTTATTGGTTTTAATGAAGAAGACAAACCCTGAAAAAGAACTAGCTGATTTAACACAGGTAATGTACATAAAACACAGATAGCACTTTGCATAACACAGTTAGTAAGAAGCCACAATTCACTCGCCAAAGACTCCAAAAACTGACTAGTATCACACTGACTAGGGTGGCATATGAGAGTGACATTGACACATGAAACAATAACTGTTAATGAGATTTAGCAGCTTATTGATACTTGCTATAGCAGTACTATCTATAGCAGAAATGTCCTACCTAACCACTGGCCAGTGGGATGAAACTTAAAGTCTCTCAATGTTGGGGCCCTTTAATCAATGGAAGAGCGCTCACTCTCTGCATGGGAGAGTATTTGTAATCCAGGGGTAGCAGGATAGCACAGTCTCCTTTAAGCAGAATCTTCCAGTGAACATTGCAATAGAAAAAAAACAACACTTCAACAAAGTCTTTACCATACAGGTGAAATCCTGATATACTGACACTTGCTCAGTATATTCAAAGCAGCAAGCTTCTGTGGGGATTTGGAACTAAAACACACTCTTCAGCCACAGCACAAGTTTTGAGGAGACAATCATCAGTAATAAACAGAGACAGAGTTCTCTCATCAATCAGCAGCAGGAATAGCTAATTCTGAGCAGCTTGGGCTTTCTAAGATCTGTGTCACTCTGAGAATTAGAGAGCAGGCTTTCTCATGACCATTCTCCAGAGATGAACAGCAAATGCAGCAATATCAAAATCCCCTTTCATCACAGAGTACTCACTGTTTCTGGATTGTCCTCTAGATAGCATTAGACAGTAGTAGAAATCCTCTCTCTTTCAGCAGCTCCAGACTTTGAGAGACACATGAACTTGAGTGGCTGTAATCCTGAGTGTCAGGCAGGACATTCCTTGATT